TTACTTGAAATGGGACGAGTATTAAAATTCCATATTACTCCTTTAGCTATTAATAATTCAGAGAGTGGGTTGGAACTGAAGGTGACCTACTTTGGTGTTTCCAGAACTGATTTCATTTTTTTCCTTCCTAACGCAAAAGTAGGAAAACGAATCTTTATAAAATAATTTGCTTTGCAAATAAATGAAAGTCTAAAGAAATAACGACTACGGAAGACGAAAATCTGCAGATAAGGAAGACATATTACTATTAAAAAGCTATTTACAAAGTTATTATGAAAGCATTATGTCTGATAGGAAAACTGTTAGTTTTTTTCTTTGGATTTACAATTGATATAATCAGATATTACTAGCAACCATTTACTTATTCAGATATTTTTATCAGATAAGAGCTGCTGGACAGTTTCTACTCAACAGAAAAAAATAACTTTCCCAACTCAGGGTCTTACTATACAATATTAAAGAGAAAAATCACTCAATGATAACAATGCTGTCAAGATAATTTTCATTAATGGTGCTTCAAAGTGGATTTCATTTTTCTTCCCTTGTCTTCCAGTACGGAAAGCAGATATTATCCTTAGAATCCTTAATAAAAGCTCATTATCATTGGTAATGGCAAAAAAATCGTTAATCAGATTTCATCCTTTAATTAACTTAAAGATTTCATGTTGAATGAACTACTTTGATGAACATAAAGAAACAGTTTGTGAAATGTTTTAGTAATTTTACGTAGTTCGTTTGGACAATATTTCATTATGGATTACAAAGACGAAAAACTTCTATTTCAAGAAAATTTTCAGAAATGAATTTCAGAGATGATATTTCATAATATAAAACATTGATATTAAAGACCGTTGTCATATTATTTCAATTATCTAATTTATTACTTCATTTTAATTATTAAATTACATTAATTTTTAATTTTTTTAAATTATTTTTTTTAATCTATCAATTAAAATCATATTTATTTCGTTTAAAAAATCATCTTAGTATTGCTTAAAATGCGTTACTCATATAAATGCGTTTTGTTGTTTTTAAATAATCATTCTCCTTTATAATTAAAATAAAACCATCTTGCACTTAGTTAGGCAAACACATATCTACGCAAAAATGATTCCCTTTTCTAGCTCAATAGATTTTTAAATTATAGTAAATCTTCTTTATCTAAAGAAATGAAATATTACGAAGTTTCTTATTTTCAAAATTACTTCAAACTTGTATTTGATTATAAAAATACTTGGAAATATCTAATTATATATAATGAGACAAATGAATGCATAACGAATTGATTTCATACAGAAACTCCTTTGCAAAGCTCTGTAGAATTTTACAAGGACGACTCACAAACGCATTTTAAGCTTAATAAACTAATGAACTAATTAAATTTCCTACTTTCATTACTGCAAATAAGCAAGTAAGTACGCATGCAGAAATATGTTTTTCAGAATTTTTATTATCTGAATAAATGTATTAATAAAGCTCATTATTTTCTCTTAAAAATTATCATCCCTGTTTAGATTTTTTAAATGAAAATGACACGGTTTGATTTCATCGGTCTGATTTGTTTGAGAATGATCTAAATATATGCATTGTGTCATTAAACATAATATTAATGAAGCTTCGTAGTGAAATTTTGAGAAACATTGTGTTAAGGAAAAAACATCGAAACACATTTTGAATATCTTAACTGTTATTTAGTTGCATAAAAGCAGGTTAAAAATTAATCAGTTAAGAGCGTTTTACAAGTCCTTTGTTTCTCTTTAAATTTTCAGCTCACAAAAGAAAATGTAATTACATATTTTCTTAAGAAATGCAGGTGTTAAAATTTTAAATGCCTTTTTGTTCGTATAAAATGCTTTATATTAAGTAATAATGCATTTAAAGCTTTAAGATGAGCATTTTCAGAACGGATGAGAGACCAATATTTCACGGAAGAACTTGTTTCAGTCAGACGATTTGTTAAAGCTTGCTTCAAAATGCTGCTATATACTTAGGAATGAGTAAAAATCGAATTAATTTAATCATTGGTTATAAATAATAAAAGTGAATTGTCTCCTGAATGAATACCAGTGCAAGAGACATCCGTATTACTAAGAGACATTGCCAACAATAAAGGTTTAACTAGAAACACATAAGAAAAATGCTACTTATTCCCAATAGTTTTGGCAATCATTTTCTTATTTCGATTGGCACGAGAATTGAACTGTTTTTAGAATAATTAGTCAAAATTTATAAAGTATTTTCGACCTTCTTTCCGCATGCTTTAGTGGTGTAACTAGAGGCACACTCGAGGCGTTTTCGTGAAGTCTGGTTTTCAAACAGCGGCGAGAGCATTGCTCATTTTTCACGTCTCCAGAGTTAAAAACACTAATGACCCTACAGTGGTGATGGACAATAATTCGTCACCACTAGGGTTTGGCGATTGGGTCCTCTCGTCTCGAGTCACCCTTTAAAAGGGGAGTATATAACGTATTTTCTCCCTCGTTTCCGTATGTCTTTGTGGTGTAACTGGATGCACACTCGACGCATAATTAGGAGGTGCGGAGGTCGAATTCCGGTGAGCGCACTGCTCATTTTTCATGTATCCAGCATCAAAAAACCCTAATGACTCTACAAATTAAAATTCCAGATATCAATGAATTCTTAAGATTTCTTAATTAAATCACTATGATTATATGGGTTAACAATTAAATAATATTTTATTATTTTTATTTAAAAGACGTACGAGTAATATTTTTTCTTTCTTTATATTTCTTGGTAATAGACTTCATGAACTTCAAATAAATAACTAAAAAAAAAATCAAACAATATTTTTTTACTATTAATTTGCTATAAAATATAAAATTTTAAAAATTATTTACTGGTAAAAATTATTTATTTAGTAACAGAATTTATGTTAACAGGAACGAAGAAATATTTTGTCCAAATTATTAAACAATGCCCCCTCAACAAACAGAAAAAAAAATAGTTTTTTTTGTAATGTCCCCCCTGCCCTTTTATAACTTCTTTTTTGCCTTTTTATTACTGTTAATGGAAATACCAAAATATGTCCCCCCCCCTGCCTTTAATAGCTTTACTTTTGCTTTAATTACATTGTAATGGAATACCAAATATGGAGAGAAGTGAATAAAATTTAAAGTATACAAGAACTCACCCACTAAAAGATTAATACGGACTTTAGAACACTCTTAGATTCATCAAACTACACTAACTCGGAATGCTATAATTCCCCAAGTATTCATACCCAAGGAAGGCTGGCCAAATATTGAAACACGGTTTTTAATAAAATATTTAAAATTAGAAGGAAAATGATTGGAAAATTAGAGTATAAAGAACATGAGCAGTCCTGAAAGAATAAGTTAAAGATTATTCCAGATTCTTCGCAATTGGTAGTCGTTTTCCCAAGATATTCCACAATTTATACATAGTCATAATATGAAGTCCGTGCTTCTCCGCATTATTTGCTCTTAGAGGGCTCTTAAATATTTATCAAACTGTAATAAAACTGCGTGTTCTGTCAGAGACACTGTAAGAGTATTATTTATTCATTCCAAATTGATTGCATAGTTTGATCTCTTGAGAATGTAGATAGAGAATAGCACACGTTTAACAGATAAAGTTTTCTTAGTCGAGGGAATAATGCGTCTTTATTACGCAATCTATATTAAAGAACTGCTATTTGACGTTTTTATTAAACATGGTGTTTTATTTGCACTCTAGATGAGATTATATTGGCTACAAAAGTGTGAAATGTAACTGACCGAGCAAATTAAGGATCGCAGAACTTAATTGTTCACTCAGGTCTTTTGAGATAACACAATGAAGATGAAGTTACACTTTGAGATTAAGTTAGACTATCCGTGTTTACTTGGTTCAGCTTATTTGCGAGTTTTCTGTGCATAATATAATAAAGAACAGTCTGTGGGTGTTTTACTCAAATTCAAATTATTTGGTATCACTGCACAACTGATAAAAGAAGACAAAATCTAAAACACAGTATCTACATTTATCACAATATCTCTAATTTTAGACCATTAGCTTAACAAAAAAATTCACTGTTTTTTTCTACAACATAATCAGCATTATTCATTAATTTACACATTATATCAAATGAAATGAATATATCATAAACTTCTTAAAGCGGCAATAACTTTAAAATATTTAAATTTAAATATGTAGCGTAGCGGTATATTAAATTTAAATTAATAAACGTAAGAATACATCTTTGCGAGTGGACTGTAGTACAACTTTTATTTTTGCGATTTCAATTTTAGAACACAACACAGCAAAAAGTAAAGCGTGAAAGTTATAGTTAACGTTTGCAAGAATGCAAAAACAAAATGCGAGCTGCGATGCGTACTGCGCATTGGGAAATAAGATCTCACAGACAGGCAGACGACTCTAGTAGCCGAAATAAAATACTATATACAAAAAAAATTAATAACAGAAGAATCCGACTGTTGTAAATATTCTATTTTCAAAGTGCAATTAATTCAAGAATTATGCAAATGAAATAATTTTTCAATTTAGGATTATTAAAAATACAGTCATAAGTATAGTCATTATTAGGAAAACAAACAAGATTCGAGAGACCCCGTTAATTAAAATTCCATTTTAAAAAAAAAAAAAAACCACTTTTGTTTGTGATAAAATTTTGCAATTTCAATTAAAATGGTCCCCATATATATTATTATTATTATTATTATATTTTATTATTTAATCAATCAAATTCCAACAAATCAATCATCAAGTATTAAATATTACATTTGCGACTTTTGCTGTTTTTCCTTTTTTTTCTTAATTTTTTTTGTAATTTTTACCATCGAATTACCTATATTAATATGTATTATACAAATCCAGAAAGAAAACTTAGATTTCCAATAATTTTAGTGAATATTTAAATCACGTAACACTTTTGTTATAAATTTTACACATTCTTTCGTGCAAATTAATTTTCGATAACAAAAAGGTAAATACTAGAAAAATAATGAAAAAGGTTATACCTTTTGAAGTACGATCCTTGTGGAACTTACATTGCTATTTATAGTTGATGTTCTAAACAATACAAATAATTAATTCGATCCTGAAGAAATAGCTCTAATAGCATGATACGTTGAACAGTTTTTGCAGTTTTAATAGTTATAATTGAAAATAAATTAACTCTACATTTGCCTTAATGATGAAATGACTGCAAATGCAATGTAAATATTCTGCTAACGGAGTAGTCAGGATGACTAATTTCCAGCTTAAAATTCATTTCTTGAATTGAAGGAACAATTTCATTGATTGCCATTCACGGAAAGGTAAAATAAAAGGTAATCTTTCCTGTATCTTTTCAGCTAGAACACAGATGAATAGAAGTAATCAATCAGCATTTTGATTTCAGCTTAGAGTTCTAAACTTTAAAACAGAAATAAGACAAGAATAAGAGATTTCATTCATAACTGATATACATGATAAAAGCATAAAATTTTTGTTGATAGAAGCAGGAAAGTAAACCCGGATAAACTTGCAGTTTAGCGCAACAATAGGTTTTGTTAAAATGTATTTTCTATCGATAACAGATTTAATCAATACAAAAGCCAGATCGTACATCTTGAAAAAGACAATACTTTTCTCGCAACTAAAAATTTTTTTTTCTATAAATTCAATTGTCGGAATGTAGTTCAGAGCGCAAAATGCAATATTTTGTAATAATATTGCAATATTTTGCAATAATTTATATTTCTGTAGCAGTGTAGTGTTATATTTCTGTAGCAGTGTA